CAGGTAAGGAATGTTTGGATTTCTAGATTTTTGTACTATAGCTCCCATAGTCTCTCATCCTTGGTTATGTTGGAAGGCACATTTGGGAGTTGAAGTTCAAAATATTTGGACAACCGAAGGTTCCTCATCCCTAGATTTATTTCATCCACTGGGAATTTGTACTTGTGGACACTTTTTGGGTCTAGTGTGACATTTCAACTTGTATCGGACAACTGGATTGCTGGCTACATAAAATGTGTGAGCCTCTGCTTATATCCCACCCCTGGGACCACCAAAAGTGTGAGCTTTTACTCTTAATCCACCCAATATAAAGACATCCATAGTATTCTCTGCAAACATTCAGTGTGAGGCTTCCTCTGATCCACACCTCTGCCATATGTAAGGACTTCCTCCAGTTCTCTTTGTGTGACACCAACTGTGGGGTCAGTTTAAATGCTCTCAAGGTTCCTATGAAGATTTATGCTACTTTTATTTCCAACAGGACACCACCCTTCCACCTTCAATACTGCCTGATAGTGATTTCGGAGCACAAAAGTATATAAAAATAAAAACAAAACTTTATTTTCAGAAGTTAAACATAAAACAGCAGTTTGTTTGTTTGTTTATATTTACTTACATCCCGCCTTTCTCCCAATATAGGGACATTTTAAACACCACACTCTCTTCTCAAATTAAATCAGACCCTTACCAATCACTTAAATCAAACTCAGTTCTCTCACTTCAACCGTAGTCTAACTCAAACTCCTCTCAAACACATTTTCCAACTGCATTCTCAAACCCCAGACTAAACTGACTTCCCATCAAACTAAAGCACTGCCATTTCCCAACTCTCATCAAACATTTCCCCGCAGTCAGCATCCACCTTAACACTCCATCCTCTCCCCCTTCTGAACAGCTACTTATCTCATACTCATACAATAAATCAAGCAACACTTTTATATACAATCCCATGACATCACACCTCGGCAGCGAGATGCAGAATAGGGCCTTCCTTCAGAGGCAGAGAGGCTGAGCAGTGGTCGGAGAGTTAATTTTTTTAAACTCATTACGCTGAAAGCCATTCCTCTGACAACGCGCAGTGTCACCTGCCAATGCAATATTCATGTGCCACTTAGGAAGTCCTGGATATTCAATGCTAGGTTTGTGAATAAGATCCTTTGGCCAGGTTGGGGTGGGTGATGGAGGCTGTAACCTATCTGTATACCACCTGAAGTGTGTTATGTGTTGGTGGAAGGGGGGTGGTGGGGGTTCCAGCAGGCCTGGAGAAATCTTTCAGCGCGTCGTCACCAGTGGTGACGGGTGAGCAAATGATCCCAGCTGTCTCCATGCTGACGGCGACTCTCTTCTCCGCCAGATTCGTTCATTAAGATCCTCAATTATTGATAGGAGCATTGGATGGAGTGCCTGCCTCACTGCAGCTGACATAACGGCCTTTTAATAATCCTCACGGATGCTTGAACATAGATTGGGGACTGGGGGATGGAGTAGACTGGACACTTCTTCCATTTATTAAAAGCTGGGGATCAGAGCATAGATCAATAGATTCCTGCTCTTTGGAGCAACAACACATAAAATAATTTGCAAATATTCAAAAATAGATGCAGGGAGCAAAACAATTGTTCCTCCTATCTCATTTTCACTATTTTGACTGTGATCAAAAAGGGAGTCTGTTTAATACTCTTTAAATAATCTGCATGCAGAGATGATAGGGACACAGGATCTTAATACAGAAAACGGGGATTTTGATCTCTGTGAGTGTTTGCAGGAACTGGTTCAGGGAATATTAATAATTCCTCACAACGAACAATGCAGAATAGGAAGCAGCATGAATTGCTCGTAGTTGCAGCATGTGGTTAAGAGCATGAACTCTGAAATGGCAGGTCCCTAGTTCAAAACTCTCCTCAGCCAGGAGAGTTCATTGGATGACTTTAGGCGAGGTATTATTTCCATTCAGATGTTTGTAATATGGAATAATAACTTTGGCTTACCTCACAGGGCTGTTGTAATGGTTACCGAAATAATGTGTATGGAGCAATTTAAGCAGTT